TCAGTCTGCAAACAGACCTCTGGTTGGGGGTCTGGATGGCACAGAATAGTAATCTGGCATGTCTACATAGGATACAGGATGGGTGACCATGCATTAAGCTGGTCGGTCTGGGTCTTTATTTGCAAGGCCATCTTGGCTCTCCCTGGGTAGCTCCTCAGCTTCCTTTGGGTAGGGTCTCAGTTGCCTCTGAGTAGATCCTCATCCGATTTCCTTTTTGCTAGTTCCTTTCACCTTTGGATTTTGCTTGAGGTGCTTATGACACCAATGAGACTAATTATCTTCAAACCAAGAAACACCATGCCATGATTAATAGACTACCTTCCTGACCCTGGCCAGCAACTTTGCAGAAGTGAACCCAGGGGGATGCTGGATAAGAAGGTGGGTGGCTCGGTACAACCCAATCCTACTGCTATAAGAAATATTCCAAGCCCACATCTTTCTGAGAGCAGTGACTTCACCACGTTTGTATGTGAAATGAAACCTTGCCCCTTTGTTTAATTAGCTGGGTTATCTAATGCCATTCCCTTCACCTCTCTCCTAAAAGAAGCATAGCACTAACCCATACATACAGAGAAAATCGCAAGGCAGAGACAACACACCGAGGAACGGAAATGCAAAATGAAAAAAAAAAAAATACCAACACAACATGCCAACAGGCTCTGTGGCTATGATCCAAATGGTGATGGTGGGTTAGGGGGAGGGTGGAGGGAAATCTGCCTGATGAGGGGAGGGGCCACAGCCATTATGGAGAAGTGGGCATAGATTCCTCTCTCTTTCTCTCTCTCTTACCTGTGTGAACATGTGTGTGTGCATGTGCACACACACACACATGCTACCCATCCACTTACAGTGGTGAGCAGAGTAATGACTTGCTGGTGGATGGATGCTCAACAGGTCATGGTGTTTTGGGTGGCTCTCCCACCCCCACTCTCAGGAAGAGGAGGGCTGGTGGCAGCAGTGGTGGCAAGGTTGAGGGGAAGGAGTTGTTGGACAGGCAAAATAATCATAATGAGAAATACACACAACGTACCCTTTACTCTCACCGAGATCGTGTGGCGGATGCTGCCCATCTTGTTGGAGGCCAGACAGAAATATTCCCCAGAGTCTTCCTCTGAGACATTGGTGATACGCAGGGCCTTATTAAAGTTTTCAAATTTGACCTTGCCAGCTGGGAGGTCCCCACCTTTCTTGTACCATGCGATGTCCGGTGCTGGTCTAGGAGGGTCAAACCCATCAGGAGATAAAGGGTGGACATGTTAAGCTCTTGCTGGGGATTCTGTAAAATTTCTTGCAAGACTCAGATTCTGTGATGTTAAGAGTCTATACTGGGGGCCCCTAAGTGGGAGTTTAATGAAATGACCCTTCCCTTTTCCCTTTTGGTGGAAAATGAGTATTTTGTGACTATAGCTGGGATGTTATAAACCTCCAAGGTATTTCAAGTGAACACTTTGTTGGTGAGGCAGTAGATGACATTAGGCATCATCTACTTAACCTGGGAGGAAGCAGGTGGGGAATACCACAGGGCAGGGACCTAGCAGGGAAACATTTAACTAGGCCCAAACTTGGCAACTGGGGCTGGGAAGCGCTGACCCCATGAGTTGGTGGGGGACCAGTAGGAGTAACAGTTTTGAAGTGAAAGAGTTGGACTTGAGACCCAGAGCAGAGTCACATAGTGTAGCTAAGTGCCATGTGCTCAAGGGTAGACCTACAGGCTGGTTAGCTGTCCATAGACCTTGTTAGCCTAAAGCTGTGCTATAGATAAGGGGTGTCTTAGGATAAGATTCTTGGGCTCTGTAACTTGACAATTTTGGATTCCAAAAGTCCATATTATTTCAATTTCTTTCCCTTAGTGACTAACAATGTTTTTCTGAAAGGCCCAACCTCTTTCATCAACAGACTAGGAAAGAAAGGGGGCATTTTGTGTGAAGGCCGGAGAATATGGAATGGGAAGAAACTTGGAAATCCCCAGAGACCTAGGGACTGATGGCTGCAGTTGAAACAGAAGAGGTCTTGATCCTCAACAACTTGGGGTACTGGCCTGGTATTGAGTTTGAAAAAAAAGAAAGAAAGAAACAAGAAAAGCCTAGGTAGGACTGGATCTACACAGTGCTGGCAGAACACTTTTCTGCTTGATGTCATTTCTTTGCAACTGGGTTTCCCATTTTTTTTCTTTCCTTGGGTGGGGAGGACGTGTGCTTCCATTTCTAACTCCAATTCCAAGAACTAGGTCTCCATTTATAGGAGAATATCAGAGCACAGAGAGATTGAGTTACATATCCACGGTGACACAGCAAACTGGCACCAAATCAAGGCAGAATTTCCGACTCCTTTTTCTCTTCTCTTTACCCAAATAATAGGGTCATTGGGATGGGATAGAGACAAGCTCCAGCATGGCATTTAGCTAGCTCATAATCTCCCTTTCAATACTAGCTACAGAATGAAACCTGGATAAAGCCCCTTTCCCAGATCTCTGAACAAAGCCAGGAAAAAGGGTCCAAGTCCAAATACAAATGGTACATACACCCCCGAGGCGATGCACTCCAGCAGCAAGTCCATGCCCCTCAACACCATCTGGCTGCTCGATGTGCCCAGGGGATACATGAAGCTGGGTGTCCTTTCTGAGACTCCTCGGGCTGAAACAGGACAAAGGATGCTCCTATGAGTCACCTCCTTGGAAAGTCAAGTAGGTGGCATAGTTTGGCTGGAGAGAAGTCATCATTGTGCCCCTGTCTTCTCCCATCCTAAGAAACCTGGTTCTGGATCTTGTGCCAATTAACCTTTTTCCTAGTTGTTAGGGCACGAAAGGAAGAGAGAGAGAGACCCGTTAGCCAGCTAGGTCCCATCTGCCCTTCCCTTACACATATGTGGCTCCATGATTTGATGAGATGTCACGAAGAATCATCTTCTCATTGCCCAAAACCCACCTTTACCCCTGCAAAGAGCAGAAGAGAGGGGGTAAAGGAGTGTTATGATAAGACCATTCTGCCAATAAGCCTAGCCACATTCTGCAAGTCTAGGAATTGGTGTGGCATATCCCCACCCCTGAAGCTTGCCCTTCCTCCTAGAGAAAGGAAATGGTAAAAGAAAGGCTAGGACACAGATCACATACGGGATACATGCATAACATGCTTTTGGGACCCTGGAGACACAGGGCAAGGATAGAGCTTCAAGGACACAGACACAATCAGAGGTGCCAGGAGAGAGTTATTAATGGGTTAGTGTTGATGTGGAGAGTTAATAAGCAGGAATCGTAGGCATCGCATCCGCTCTGGGACCAAAACCAGTCTGTACTTTTACTAATGGCTCTGAAAGGGGGTGGAGGTAAGAGAAGAGAGTGTTAATTAGAAGTAAGATGAGGAGGAGGGGGTGTGAGGGGAGATAGCCATTCCTTTGGAGAATATGATTTACTATTCATCTAGGCTCAAAAACAGCTTACGTATTAATAATGATCTGAAATTAACGAAATGCCTTTTTGTTGTGCGGCTGTTTTAAGGGCCAAATATCTCAAAGATTTCAGCGCTGCTTTCAGCACTGTGGAATGGATAGTGACATGGATAGAGGGGAGACCTCAGAGGTGGATGCTCAAGTCAGAAGAGTCCACATAGTATGGTGGACCCTGCTCCACCTGGGCTGGGCCTTTCTTACCATAGCTTTTTGCAAAGGACCATGATAAGAGAGTTTTGCAAAAGAAGTGGGAAAGATGGTATGAAGACGCCTCCCAACGAGAAGTCACAAACCAGAAGACAAAAAAATGGGGAAACCATTGATCTCGGACCACTCAGGAAAGGCTAGCTTGGAGCTATGGCATTAGGGAGGGGGCAGAGCTCTCTTCTTGGTGGGAGATACTTAATGGGCCCCATCCTGAGCTGCCAGCGGCTGTGAGCCCCTCAGAGATGTATGAGGTGAAGAACAAAGTTGTTCATCGAGAAGGATTTAATCAATTCTGTCATGGAGAGGGGGCAGGGTGGTCTGCAGGGACCCTCTGCATCTGGGTAATTGGCATTCCCCAATCAGAAAAGTGACTGAAGTAATTTGTTATCCTGGGCTGTCCCTGTCTAGAACCAGTGGGGGCTCCCAGCCAGAGGCCCCCAGCCCCTCCCAGCTCCAGTCTGATGGGAAGGATCATGTGCACACTGGGAGGTGAACTATCCCAGTATAAGCAATATAACCTTTGAAAGTAAGGATAGAGGGGGAGGGAAATAAACCCACCATGGGGAAAGTATTTCAAGGCACTTGCTTTGTTTCTCCCTTTGTTAAGAGAAGGACAAAGGAAGAAAATTATTCGAGTTTACATCAGCTGTTGGAGAGCAGGGATCATCTTCTTCCATGTTCCCACAGCACCTCGCAATTTCAGGTGTCTAGGAATCCTTTACAGAGGCTCTGAAAGAGCCCAAGTTAGACCCCAAAGAAACCAGGTTGTAGGTAAAGAAGGGATCTGTGTTCTGTACTGGAAGCATGCTCCTCCTTCGGCTATGAGTGATTTTGGCCATAAGGTGGATAAATGTGAGGCCAGGAATGAGTTTGGGAAAAGCTGAGGCACATTTGTTGGGGAGGGGATGTATTTCACACTTGGTGGGCTAGTGAATTTCTGAACCTTCTGTAGGACTGTTAGGTGATGATAAGAATGACAGTGATGGGCAAGAGGAAATACTGAAATGCTTCTAAATGTTGCCTTATGGACACTCCTTAGGTGCCTCCAATTCATATAGGAAGGATTATCCTCACTTAATATCAGCTGCTCCCTCCATCCCTGCCAACCCTCTGTCCCACAAGATACTCTCTAAAGATACTCATTCATATATACGCTCACACACATATACACTACAGGGATCTCTACAAAAGACAAAATGTGATCATTAGCAGCTGAGGGCATTCAGGTGAAACTCTAGCTTCAGAGTCGATGGTCTTGGAAGCCAGTGGAGGGAGGTTACATTACCTTCATCCTTGGAGAAGTCAAAGCATTCTGAGGGATTTACTTTATATGAGATCAATATCTTTTTTTTTTTTAGGCACTTGGGGTTAAGTGACTTGCCCAGGGTCACACAGCTAGTAAGTGTCAAGTGTTTGGTCTGAGGCCGGATTTGAACTCAGGTCCTCCTGACTTCAGGGCCAGTGCTCTATCCACTGCATCACCTAGCTGCCCAGATCAATATCTTCTTGAGAGGAAATGGCAAACCACTCCAGCATCTTTGCCAAGAAAACCCCAAATGGGGTCACAAGGAATCTGACACAACTGAAATGACTGAATGACAACAAAAACCTGCTTGAGAGGAAGAGTGATGATCAAGGCATCATCTCCCTTATTAGTGGCACTGAAGACACCTATCCAGCAATGACTAGGGTTAGCCTAGTAGTAAGAGGAGAAATCCAGTGATTTCCAGATACCTATTCCAGATACACAGGATTGCATCATATCATCCTGCTCCTCAGGGTTGGGATGCTATTGCTACCAAAAACCTTGGCATCATCAAATGGTTCAACATTAGAACCTAATATGATTTTGTTGGTGGAAATGACATTAAAGAAGAAGCTGAAAATCATCTGTTTTACTGCTGTGCCCTTAGGACCATGGGGTCTTTCCATCTCACTTGCAGCTGAAACGTTCCCTACCTGTTGTTGTTCCGTTAGATTATAAATTCCTCGAGGGCAGGGACTGTCTTTCTTTTTCTTACTTGTATCTCTAGCATTTAGCACAGTGCCTGGTACACAGCAGGTGCTTAATAAATGTTTACTGAATTGAACTGTGGTCTCCTCCGTTGGAACTTGACCTTCTTGAGTGCAGAGATTCTTAAATTTGGATTTGTATCCCTAGCACTCGGAAGGGTGCCTTGCACATATGTGCTTCATAAATGCTTCATTCATTCATTCACTCATTCAATGGCACCTAACTCACCATCTCAGGGAATCCTGGTGCTGAGCTATACCTGTGACCAGAAAGTACATAAGTACAACTGATGTCCTGCCTACTGCTGTATTTGGTTAGTGACCGTCAGGTTCTACAGAGATCTGGGCCATCAGGGCATGCCCTTTCCACACTTCCTTAGCTCTCAACCAAGTGTTGATGAGCGATTAAGTAATAAGCAATATCCCTTCTGCTGCAGAGGAATGACCCAGATTGCTAAAGGACTTAGATCCCCCCACTCTCACCTCCACCATAGAAAATGTACCAGGTATTGCATTTGGTTACCAGAAGGATAGAGCACAAGGAATCTGAAGGAAACGACAACCAGCAAGAATCCTGGATCCAAGCCATCTCTGCAGCTTTGGAGCCTTAAGACAGTATCTGAGTCACAGGGCGAGAAAGGACCTTCAGATGCTATTTCAAGCACCCCTCCTCTCCAATCCAACCTTCTACTTTTAAGGTTCCCTAAAGGACAGGACCTTTTTGCATGCTCCCTCCAATGTCCAATACCCCTCACCGTCAGGAAGTTCTTCTTCGTGTCCAACTTAAATCCCTCATGCTGTGGCTTAAGTCTACATCATCTTATCCGGTCCTTAGTAAGGGTGGAAAGGACATAGGCAGGACCTTCTGCCCAAGAGCTGGAAGGTTACCCCTCAGTCTTTTCTTTTGCAGCTGTCCCAACCTTTCTGTCCTCCACAGGTCTGGCCCTCACATCTCTTACATATCTGTTTCCCTTCTCTGACTCCTCAAGATCCCCACCTCCTCCTTAAGTGATGGACCCCAGATGACACATGGTCAGTCATCAATTCCTGGGTGAACTCTACACTTGTTAAAATCTCCATAGGAAATCTGGAATAATAATAACTAACATTTATACAGCACTTAAAAATTTTCAAAGCACTTTACCTCATTTGAGCCTCACAGTAACTGCATGATGGAGGTCCCACAGATGTTGTTCCCATTATACAAAGGAATAACTGAAGCTCGGAGAGATTAGATTTGCCCATGGCCACACAGTTAGTAACTACTTAGAACCCAGCTCTTCCCAGATCCCAATCCAGTACTCAATCTATGCCATACTCCCAGAACAACTTGCTCCAGGCACCTGGGAGTATTTCTGGCCTCCCTTCGGTCATTGTTGGTTGGCACATGGCACCTGTTTAGGGAAGACAACATTCTAGTATTTGCCTAAATGAGATGTGATTGGGAGGAAAATTTGCCACTGCTGTAAAGGAAGAGCAGAATATCTTTCCAAGGTAAGCCGAAGTGATTTAGGATTTTCCATACCACTACTTTCTTGCTAACTTAGTCAAATTATGAGGCCCCTATACTCCAGTATGCATTTGACCACTGGAAAGGGGACCTGGCCCCTTTCCATACCTTGTGCCCCCAATACTATAGTCACTGTTTCTTGTCTACAACACCACCAGTACCTTTGTAATTGGACTCACTCTTAACCATCTTGTGTCAAGCACAGAAGTTCAATCTCTACGCTGGTACCTGTGAGTGAGTGAGCTTTGTACTGTCCCACCCAAGACCATACTGTGGTCCTTATTCCTGTTTGCCTCTTGTGTCACTGCATGCCATCAGTCCCAATGGGATGTCAAAGCATGCAGATGGATCAGTGCAAGCTTATCAAAGCTACTAAAAAAATACTCAAGGCACACGCCCAGCTGATGTGATTAGTAGGTCAGTAATACCATCTTTATAAGCAAAGAAGTGCACTTTTGG